GTACTCGTCGATGTATTCTGTGAGAGTCGCAAACACATACTCGTGCGCTTTAGAACCTTGACGCCGATTTGCGACTTGACCTGACCAGCTCCCGTATTTAGACCTCCCTCTTACTATGGCGCGCGTGTGAGTTTGATACGAGGAAAAGGAAAACTGTCCAATGTTGATTTATTCAGCCGCTGTCTGTATTTGAGGGTGAACATGTTCAATGTTTGATCTATCCTTAATGATGACATGGATATAGTTGGTTATTTGACATTGGTTCCATTGGCCAACGGTTGTAGGCAAAAGGAATCACGCAAGTACCGCATTAGGCAAATTTCGGTTCGTCACAGGGTCTCCTCATTTTTATTAATTTTTTTTTTTTAACCAAAAGTCTGCTACTCCTAACTGTCTTCGCAAATTTGCATTCGTTAAGAGCGAATTAATCACATAGTTGTCTATTCTTTCTTTACCGGACAGTTTTAAAGGTGACCCAAAAAGTCGCCAATCTCTTATACTGACATCTTTTATACAAATGGGGCACGTCACGGAGCTCTCATTTTACATCTCTGGAAGCTAATTAATTTTTATGTAGTTAGGAACACTTTCTTTGCAATACGTTGTACGGTTAAATCGATGTTATTCTGTGACCTCGATTAAATTTCATTGCTGAGAATCCTGTGGGGTGAGAGGTTAATTCTTCGTTTGAAATACCTGATTTAGAATCAAGGGTTAATGTACTGACAGCTAGAAAACAATCTATCAAATAAAAGTTTTAGGCATTGTTAACCGTGGATCGTAAGAAGCTTTGTCAGTATCACAAACGTTCGCAATTTTGGTAGTAATCAAAAATAACAGCTGCTTGACGCGTCGAACGGACTAGCACAATGACAAAACGAGAGTTCAGTCTCAATTTCAGCTTGAAGAACACGCATAAAATCCACTCTCCTGAAATATTACTCTTCGTGTTTGTACAGAATCATTCACGATTACAAATGCAATTGTGTTACTATCAGCCATAATCGGACGATGACATCAGTCCCGAGAGAAACGACAAACTGAAAATAAGATATGTACATAAATTAGTTCCGGCATTGAAAAAGGTGCATCATATTATGCGTGGGCTGAGTCTCTGATGACCTCATGGGACGTTTTATTGACTTCTAAAGCATTATTGGTAACGAGAATGGCGTGTGAGTGGTTTGAAGATCTCGTGATTTAGAGACTACATTGTTTTTAAGATCACGAGTTTTCCTATCTTTCATCATTCATCCCCAACCATGGAGTTGTTGCTGTCGGAATATCTGACCTTCGGAAATGTTTTTATCGCGGTTGTTTTCTTGCTGATTCTCAACCAATTGTTTGAGCTCTATCAGTTCAGGAACATGCCGCCGGGGCCTCGTTTGACAAGTATACCGTTCATAGGAAATTTAATGAGCTTTGATTCAGGGGATGGTTTCTGTCAAGTAACAGCAAGGTTTGTTTATGCTGTACAGACCAGTAAAGCGTTTCAAAGGAGTTTCACCACCTCACAGACTTTTCTTACTTATTTCTCTTCCAAATGTAAAAATCGAGACGTATCATCAATTCTACAACATTTTAATAGATCACTTTCAAAATTTTGGTTGTCAGTTGACAATGGGTCCTTTGCAGGCGAGTGGCATATAATTTGCAACACAAATCAATTATACGGAAGTAAGGATCTGTCATCCTTTCTTGCATATCATTAAGTTGGTCAAGAGTTATCGTTCGTCACACAACACAGAACTCACACTGTGCTGTTGCACTCAGTTCTTAAGTGTCATTTCTTTTTGGCCTGGCTTGACCCTTAACTATTCCATTTCTTTGCAGCATGAGGAAAAATTACGGCACCGTATATTCCATGAAGGTTGGGAGTTTCAAATTCGTTGTTGCCGAAGATCCAACATCTGTGAAGGAAGTGCTCGTTACAAAATCTGCTGATTATGCTGGAAGACCTCCGTTTCACAGCTTTATGATTGACACACTTGGTAATTTGTTTTTCTTACAGATTATTGTACCTAAAAATGTTTGAGATCAATTACCCGCGTTTTCTTTTTCCTTGTTTGCTGTTTTTTTTTTTTCTTTTAAAGTTGTCGCTAGGTTATATCAGTACCTAAAACGACAGGCACCGCGGTCTTACGGGCTTAAATGGTTCGAGGAAGATAAAATTTTCCGCTTGAAGTAACGATACTAGATCGACGTCTATCCCATTCTCTCTCAAGACCTCAACCAGTAATTCTTCTTTTAAATTGGTGTTTGCCATACAGGTCCTTGGATGTTAGTTTGTTACTCTTGAAAGTTAAAGGGAGTGTCACCTGATGTTTCTTTAGCTTGTAAAACAAGATACTTAATTGTAAGCACGGCACAAAGCGCCACGCTGCAAGTGTTTAAATAATAAAACACAGTGATTTTTATTCGGAGCAATTTTTATAAATGCATGAAACAGAGTTGTACCATGTGTTGTGAAGAAATCGAGCCTACATTGAACTGAAATAAACTCAACTGAAATAATAGAAAAATTAACGGAAACAGCCTAGAAAATGAACACTCGTGAAACCGCACACAGATTTATTTAATTTGATTAAGTTAGTGATTATCTGATTTTACCACACCGGGTATGGTTTTGTGATATAGGATATAGTGACACTTGAGAGTTTAACAGACAAGAACCTTCACGATATATTCTTGAATACGGACAGCGTTTATAGAGAGAAAACAGCGAGTTTTGAGATTTAGAGCCCTACGGAATATTAAGCCTTGTAACGCAGAAGGATTCAGCCAATAAATTCTTTACATGTGTTGATTCACCAATAACTTGTAAAATTAAGAGATACTTTGTTTAGAATTTCTCAGTAACGGCTTTACGACTCTCTGCAGGTGGAAAAGATGTTGCTTTGGCAAACTATGGTCCAGCCTGGAGATTTCATCGCAAGCTTTTCCTGACGGCTATAAGACAGTATCTATCTGATCAAAAATTGGTGGAAGAAAGGGTCTCCGAGCAGGTGCGATGGCTGATGCAGTACTTTGAGGACCAAAATGGAAATGAATTCGACCCTGGAAAGATTTTAATGGAGAGTGTTGCAAATGTGATATGTCGAATCACATTTGGAAAGCACTTTGACTCCTCTCATCCAGATTTTGAGGAATTCTTGAAGCTGAATAACGAGTCTTTTACTGACATTGAAACAAGTAATCAAATTTTTGTTTTAGATTTCTTTCCGATTGCCAAGTACTTTCCTTTTTCTGCGTATCAAACAGAGCAGAAGGTCGCAGACCGAATGTTCGAAATTCTCCGCCGACAGTTAAAGATACAGGAAAATGAGTTCGACCCAAAATCAGAGATCGAAAGTCTCATCGGAAGTCTTCTCAAAGAGAGAATTGCTGCCGAGAATGAGGTTGATGCGGAGGAGAGGGCATCCATATTATCAGACGACTACATAATCAACACCGTGGGAGATATGTTTAGTGCTGGTTACGAGACCACTAGTACAACCTTACGCTGGGCCATTGCATACCTCGTTAATTATCCTGAATGCCAAAGGGATATACAGAGTCAGCTCGACGACGTGGTCGGAAGAGATCGCATGCCAGGTCTGGATGATCGTCCAAAACTTCCTCTAGTCTTAGCCACAATCATGGAAACGTTGCGCCTTGGAAATGTTGCTGAGACAACCATTACACATTACACTCTGAAAGATACCACATTGGCCGGTTACCGCGTTCCAAAGGATACTGTGGTGATGGCCAACCTAATGGCCATTCATCTTGACCCTAACCTTTGGGAGAACCCAGACTCCTTCGACCCTCGTCGCCATATTGACTCCGATGGCCAAATTATCACCAACTCTGGCAATTTTCTTCCCTTCTCAGCTGGACGCCGGGTTTGTGCTGGCGAGGCCTTAGCAAAGGTGAGGTTAATCTCCCATGTATTTTATGCATCACTTAGATAAGTTGTTTTCTTAATTACAATTCCACCTATAGTGTTTGCAGAAAGAAAATTTGTCCGAAAAAACATTTTTGTTGCATTACATCCTAGTGGAATCTTGCTAAGCCACAGCTAACAGCTGTTGCCGTCTGTGGAAGTAGCTCTGATACTTATAGCCTATTATCATTACGGTTATCAGGTGTAAAATTACTTGAATCAAACCGTTGTTGTCTTCTCTTTTTTTTAATCTTCCAGCATCCCTTCCTAGAGTTCAGTAACAATTAAAGAAATGTGTTTAAACCATTCGGATTAATGACATATCGCTGTTGAGACCCAATTCACAGCCCTATGAATCCTTTGCTAATTCGGCCTAAGAATCCTCTGCTCTATTTAAACGCGTTGGTTTCTTGCAAGACTTACTTTCTTATGTATAAGAAATAGACAGATAGAGTGGATGAGGCCTATTAGATCAAAACTGTAATTATTCAACGAACTTTGCTCCACGCAGACTTATCATTCTTAAATCTTTCTTTACGGGACTTAAGTGTTATATTTTTTTTCTCGTTGTTGTTGTTGTTTTAGATACATATATGAAGTGCTATGCATTCTACTATTTTTTCTTTCAAGGTGGAGCTGTTCTTGTTCCTGTCTTGGATGCTGCATAGATTTACATTTCTGCCATCACTAGATGGCAGCTTCCCGGAACTAAAGGGAAAGTTTGGATTAACCCGCTTTCCAGCTGCTTACAAAATAAGGGTTGTAAAACGCCAGTAATATGATATAAAGGGTGAACCATTGGTAGACTACATAAACGCTTTTGAATGGCCTTTAGTTAGACGAGCAATCAATGGAGATGAAACAATGACATTTGAGCCTCTAATTATTTTCTTCGATCTTTGTATCTCTATCTTTCGTGAAAATAAGAATCCTTTATTAATTGCTGTTAATAATTTCATCCCCAGTGTGGTTTATATTGTTAACGGCAGTTGATAGTGCCGGCATGTTATTGAAATCTTTGATAAAAATAAGCGTACATATTGTTGTAATAAAGATCCTGCTTCTTCGCATAGCAAATTCAGGATAAAGCTGCGATTAAAATAACACAGAAGCTTATTTTTTTGCGAGTGATACGATGCAGTTTTTCTTTTCTTTTCTTTCTTTTTCTTTTTTCCTTTTTTTGATGTCTTTCATAAAGTGAAAACAATAGTAGTTGGCCCAGTTTTTGATCGCTTAACCCAGAGAGTGGTCAAATTGACCCCTTTTCAAGTAGTGAATTGCAATTCACTATCTCACATTGGTGTATTATCTTGGTCTTGTCTCGGTGAGCCAGGAAAAGGGGAGCAGTCATGCAGTCACTACCAGTTATCAAAATATCAAGTTTAATTTTCTAACTATAATGGTTTGAAATAAGAAAATCAGGCAGACACAACCAAGATCCTCCTCAACTGGGAATTTTTCCTCAGCCAGCTCAGTTGTGGCTGGGGAACTGCAGTTGTCTGGGGGGATCAGCTCCTTCTTGCCTCTATCCTCTCGTATATTAACTACTGACTGCTCGGTTACATGAGCCCGCAGTCTAAGACGTAACGTAGGACCAAGAAAAAAGTCGCGAAAAGAAAAAAAGACGCGACAAAAAATAAAAAAAATTTTTAAAGAGTCGTGGAAAGAAAAGAATGTCGCGAGGCAAAAAAGGAAATCGTTGTCCCATCCAGGCCGCCTTATATTTCAGACTTTGATATGATTTTCTCTGTTAATTGTCACGAAACTTGTCTGAAACTCACGGTGAATTGATCTAAAACAAAATTCAAATATCTAATCTCGAGTTTTGATCATGCCTGGGAAATCATCCTACATGTAAAGTTCTGTTCAGATAAGGAAAAACAAACCAACGAATAAACAGATAGAATCCCCTCGCGCCCTTGTCATGCAAACTTCTAGACTACACGAAGGTGGTCTCAAATGATTTACATAAATCACTTCCGCCATTAAAGCAGCTGATTATTGCGTGTCGAACTTTTACTAAGATCGATACTTAGTTTTTAAGTGAATACCATTAGTTAAAAGGAAAAAAAGCCGTGATAGCCACTTCTGGTTGTGTTTCAGAGTGCAAAAGTGTTAAAGATCAACGAGGTGCACTCGTATATCAAAACGTAGCCATATGACTCGGGGGAAAGTTTCATTGAAATAACGGCAAGGTTTGAGTGATCACTAATGCGTTTGAAATGACCTCAAAGCAGTTCACTTTCCTACATACTCCAACTATGCATCTTCTATCTATATCTGTTTTCTGGAAACTAAAAGTCAAGCCGTACCATCAATTCTCCAACATTTCAGAAGGTTATTTTCAAAATCGAGAATGGGTCCTTTGCAAGTGAGTGACACATTAAAAGCAACACGAAATAAATTATGCGGAATAAGGATCTGTCATCCTTTCTTGCATATCATTATCGTTCATCACGCAACACACATCTCACTTTGTGTTTCTTCACTCGGCTCTTAATTTTTACCTTAACTATTTCTCTGCAGGTAACTTTGGTTTTATCAACTGAGTTGGCTATGTAATTTGGCCTCCGTAAAGAGTTTTAATACTGACATTTCGAGCGTTAGCCCTTAGTCAGAGCACTTTGTCAGAGCTCTTCGCTCTGACGAAGGCTAACGCACGTAACGTCATCACCTTTGAAACTCTTTACGATGGCCAGTTTACATTATCTCAGTTGATAAAACCAAAATTACCTTGTTACTCCTACCGACGCAGTACCACAGTTTCTTTAGAAACTTACCCTCCTTATTTCTTTGCAGTTCAAGAACGGCACAGTATATTCCATGAAGGTTGGAAGTTTCAAACTCGTAGTTGCCGAAAATCCAGCATCTGTGATGGAAGTGCTCGTCAAAAAATCTGCTGATTATGCTGGAAGACCTCCGTTTCACAGCTTTATGATTGACTCGCTTGGTAATTTGTTCTACTCACAGATAATGAAATCTGAAAATGTTTGAGATCAGTCACCCATGCTGATTTGTTTCCTTGTTTGTTTGTTTAGTTGTCACTGAGCTGTACTGATTAGTTTAGGAACCTAATCACTTCTTCTTGCGAGACTTCGCACACGATAGTTTAAACTCATAGAGGTTCATCTTTTGTTATTCAAACATATTAATTTATGTTGCAGAACGATATCAATCAGAACCAGAGTTGCCTCTTGCTGATTCTTTAGTCATGCACTTTTATCCTCTCTTACAAATTAACAAACACAAGATACATTCAAGCATTACAACATGGTGCAAAGCACCTTGTTGTGCTTGCTCAAATGATCAACACATGATCTTATTATTTATCTATTTAATTTCTTTAGCAGCGATGATACCAGTCTGCGTAAGCAGAGTTGCGAAATCTGTTGATTCACCTGAAACTTGATACACTTAGGTGATACTTTGTTTTAATATTTTCTTTACGGCTTTGTGACTTTCTGCAGGTGGAAAGGATATTGCTTTTGGAAACTATGGTCCAGCCTGGAGATATCATCGTAAGCTCCTTATTACTGCTATCAGGCAGCACATGTCTGATCAAAATTGTTGGAAAAAGCGATCTCTGAGTAGGTAATGAGGCTGATGCTGTACTTTGATGATGGAAGTGATTTTAACCCAGGAAAAATTTTAATAGACAGCGTCGCTAATGTGATTTGTCGAATCACATTTGGAAAGCACTTTGACTCGTTCCAGCCAGATTTTGAGGAACTCTTGCAGTTGAATAACAAGGTATTTACAGACACTGAAACGATCACACAACTTTTGGTCTTAGACTTCTTTCCAATCAGCCAAGTACTTCCCATTTCGTGCCTATAAATTAGAGAAAAGAATTATGGACCGTATTTTTGAAATTCTTCGGCATCAGTTGAACTTACAGAAGAATGGATTTGACCCAATGACAGAGATCAAATGTTTCATTGCAAGTCTTCTTAAAGAGAGGAGTGCAACTGAGGATTAAGTATGAATGAATAAAGGCTGATAGTTTCGAAAGAAACTGTTTGGGGCTGCGACGGTGGGAGTAACGAAATAATTTGGATATATCAACAAAGTTGAAATGGTAAATTGGCCACCGTAACGATTACAAAAGCTGACGTTTCGAGCGTTAGCCCTTTGTCGGAACGAGGATTAAGTAGATGCGGAGGAAAGAGCATCTATTTTGTCAGACGACTATATGATCAATTCTGTGGGAGACATGTTTGGTGCTGGTTACGAGACCATTGGTCAGTACTACCTTACACTGGGCCATTGCATACCTCGTCCATTATCCTGAATGTCAAAGAGATATACAGAGCCAGCCCGACGACGCAATCGGAGGAGATCGCATGCCAGGTCTGGATGATCGTCCAAAACTTCCACTTTTGCTGGCCACAGTCATGGAATCATTACGCCTGGGAAATACTGCCGAGACAGCTCTTCCACATTACATTCTGAACGATACGACATTGGCCGGTTACCGCGTTCCAAAGGATACTGTTGTGATAGCCAATCTATCTGTCGTTCATCTCGATCCAAATCTTTGGGAGAACCAAACTCCTTTAATCCTCGTCACCACATTGACTCCGATGGCCAAATTATCACCAACTCTGGCAATTTTCTTCCCTTCTCAGCTGGACGCCGGGTTTGTGCTGGAGAGGCCTTGGCAAAGGTGAGACTGACCTCCAACGTATTTTATGCATCACTTGGATGGCTTGTTTTCTTTTTTAATTGTAATTCCACCCAAAGTGTTTGCACAACGCAAATTTGTTCAAGAAAGATGTTTGTTGCATAACATCCTAATGGAATCTTGCAAAGCCACCGACTAATATGTGTTACCGTCTCTGGAAGTAGCTCTGATGATTAAAGCCTATTATCATGAGGGCTATTAGGTTAGAGAGTGCTTGAATCAAATCGCGATCGTGGTTGCGTTCAGCCTCTATTTCATCTTCCAGTATGCCTCCCTAAAGTTAAGTAACAATCAAAGAAATGTACTTAAACCATTCGGATTAAAGAAACATTGCTTTTGAGACCCAATTCACAGTCCTCTGAATCCTTTGTTAATTTGGCCTGAGAACCCTATATCCTATTAAAACGCGATTAGTTTCTTGCAAGACTTATTTTATTGTGAACATAGTCATGGACTCACAGAATGGATGAGGCTTATTTGATCAAATCTTTAATTATTCCACAAACTTTGCTCTACATACACTTATCTTAAGCCTTTCTTTTCGGGAAACAAATGATATATTTTCTTTTTCCTGTTGTTGTTGTTTCAGAAACATTTACAAGGCTTTTTGTATTTTTCTTTTTTTTCTTTCAAGGCGGAGCTGTTCTTGTTCTTGTCCTGTATGCTGCATAGATTTACATTTCTGCCATCAGAAGATGGCAATCTCCCGGATCTAAAAGGAAAAAGTGGATTCACTCGCTATCCAGCTGCTTACAAAATTAGGGTCGTCAAACGCCAGTAATGCATTAAGGGTGAAGTACTTATACGCTTTTGAATGGTCTTTTACAATGAAGCCTATGATTCTTTATTTTAAAAAAAAATTATAAATAAATAATAAATCACCTAGCAGTGAACTTCCACTGGGTGGCTCTTCTTGTCCACCGTTCCAGATCGAATTGGAATTTGGAATGTTGGTTTTTGCGGAGGGAGAAAAACCGGAGGACCCGGAGAAAGTCTTCTGAAAGAGAGGATTGCTGCCGAGAATGAGGTTGACCCGGTGGAGAGAGCATCCATACGTACTATCAGACGACTACATAATCAACAGCATGGGAGATATGTTTCGTGCAGGTTCTGACCCTGTCACTGCTGCCTTACCCTGGGTCATTGCATATCTTGTCTGCCATCCTGAGTATCAAAGGGATATAAAGGACGACGTTGTCGGAAGAGATCGCATGCCGGATCTGAATGACCGCCCAAAACTTCCTCTAATGCTGGCCACCATCATGGAATCCTTACGCCTAGGAAATGTTGTTCCTACAGCTCTTCCACATTTTACTCTCAACAATACTACATTGGCCGGTTACCCCGTTCCGAAGGATACTGCGGGGATAACGGCCGTTCATGTTGACCCTAACCTTTGGGAGAACCCAGACTCCTTCGACCCTCGTCGCCATATTGGCCCCAATGGCCAAATTATCACCAACTCTGGGAATTTTCTTCCCTTCTCAGCTGGACACCGGGTTTGTGCCGGCGAGGCCTTGGCAAAGGTAAGACTTACTATTCCCTTTATATCAGTTCTAATCACAATTTCGCCGACAACACTTGCACAAGAAAAATTAATCCATGCCAAGATAGATTTTATATGGTATTTTCTCTCTTCTTATCAACTGCTAGAGCTTCTCCTAACTTCAGCAATATTTGAATAAATGTGTCTCGAGGATTGTTTGAGCCGGTGGGATGATTTAAATACCCTTTTTAAAAACGCTCTTCTTGAGTCCAATTCAAAGACTTCAAGCTCCCCTTTGCTTAATCTGGCATGAGAATCCTTTGCAGTTTTTGGAATTACCCGATACTTCAAAAATATGCTCAAGGTTAGTGGTCTCAATTCCTAATATCCTCAGTGAAACTCCTACATTTATAAAAGATGTTTTTGTACTGTTTCCGTTGCCTAAAAGGTGGAGCTGTTTCTGTTCTTGTCATGGATGCTGCACAAGTTTACATTTCTACCACCGGCGGATGGTAGCCTACCGGATCTAAAGGGGAAAACGGGTTTCTCTCGTTACCCAGCTGATTACAGAATCAGGGTTGTAAAACGGCAGTTACTGCGAATGAGGTGAAGTATTTTTGAACTGTATTTGGGCTTAATACCCTCTGAGAGGCTGAAAAATACATCAAACTTCTAGAACTCTTTATCATCAGATTATTATCATTAATGCAAAGATCGAAGTCGAGTTATGTTGAGCATGGAATTTGTTAAAGGTCGTTGAACTACCTGATGTCTTGGAAATATAGATACAATTGTAAATAGTGCATTTTTAGAGGGAAGTCCGATCTCGATCATTTTTCGATTTCACTTCCAAGGACTGGCTCCATGAAAGATAGCACTGAGAGTGGATTTTTTGAAATAACGATTTGTTGTTGCTTTGTGCTCACCTAATTAGGGCAGGTGATGAGGTTTACACCTAAAGACAAATTTCAAAATTGAAGCCTGAATAAAAAGCATTTTTCGACTGAAGTTGGAATAAAGTTCAATTTCTAATACTATATAGATATTGACCATGAGTTAAGATGCCACACATTTTGGGGGTATGGGTTCGAAGTCTGGTCATCCTTGGGTCGTACATACTGAGTGTATCAACTGACAGCCATTATTACTCAGCGCACTCTTTCTGAAGCGTTACTTAGGGGGAGGGGGAAAGGGGGAGGAGGAGGAGGAGAGGGAGAACACGAGTAAGGAGTCCCAAATGGAAAATGCAATAATAGCATCCGTGGCGCTTTAGACGTTACGACTGTAGGTTTCCTAGTAACTCTGTTTCTGTTTAAACCAGATACAAATTTAATCATTTAGATTTTGAACTCTCAGCACTATTAGGGGTAAATTGCCTTTCAACAAACTTATTCATCTCTAATTGAGTTAACTTCCCGAATGCCTATCAATTCCTTTTTTTAAAGTGAGATCATGTTGATAGATTCCTAAAGCGTTTAATTCGTGTGATCCTGACACTTTCTATAAATGAGTATAGTTCCTAACGTATGGAAACAATACACGTGTTTATCGAAAAGGCATCCACACCGCTCAGGGATATATACGAATTTGCTACTTGCTTGTTTTTAAATTCTAAAGATGGACTTAATTATTCAAAAAAGGGCAATCAAATGCTATAAAATGTTTGTTTTTTCTACGCCGCCATTTTCAAAACAAGAGTGAGCAACCTGTCGCACACGCTAAACCACAGCGTGCAGTTAACAAACAGTTCTTATCGCAATGCGTTATTGTTTGAGTCAAGAATAGGTTTTAGAATTGTTTTCATCAGGCCGCTGAAAAAGAGAGGACTAAGAACTACTGATGTTGCAATTAAGCGGCCAGGTTGCTAGGGAGGATCCAAAATGGCGGCGTCCATGTTCGCATTTTTTAGCACAACTGAAGACGATTTGAAAAATGGTTAAATCAAACTCTCTCGATTCTAAAATTGCGGTCGGTTTCATAATTTCATATAAACACTTTGTAATGGAAGAAATAAAAACAATATATATGGTTTCTGGAGTATACTTTTCCTTTAACTTCTGTGAACCCTAAGGAGATGCTCGCAATCGTATGCTATTACCACAATAATACCCTTTAGGAAAATCGTGCACAGCCTTGTTTCTGAAGAACGGTATTGCAAATCAGGACTAATTTTTGTTACGAGCACTTCTACTTTCTGCCTATAATACCGTTCGCTTAAGATGACAAGCTCCTATTTGCGTTTTTTAACCCTTATATTGTAAGGCGCCGGAAAACGGGTGAAACCATCGACTCCTTTAAGGTCAGGAAGAACACCGTTTTCTTGGGGCAAGAAGGTAAACTTGTGCAACATCCAGGACAGGAAAAAGAACAACTCGACCTGCAAGAAAAGAAAGGCAAACATAATCACTTATTATTTGCATCATATTTGTTACCTACAAGATGAATCCACATTATCACTCACGACGGGGAGTCAATTTTCCCCATCATAATTTGATAAAACGAATTACCTTTGCAAGTGCCTCGCCAGCACAAACCCGACGTCCAGCAGAAAAGGGTAGAAAGTTTCCAGAGTTGGTAATAACTTGGCCATCACCATCAATATGGCGGTGTGGGTTGAATTTGGTTGGATCCTCCCAGCAGCTTGGATCCATGTGAACGGCCATCAGATTGGGCACAACCACGGTATCTTTTGGAACACGGTACCCAGCAAGTGTGGTATCTTTCAGAGTGTAATGAGGAAGAGCTGTTTCAGCGACATTACCGAGGCGAAGTGTTTCCATGATTGTGGCCTGTACTAGCGGAAGGCTAGGGCGATCATCCAGACCCGGCATTCGGTCCCTTCCAACCTCTTCGTCCAACTGGTTCTGAATCTCTGTTTGACAGTCAGGATTGTGAACCAAGTAAGCGATGGCCCAACGAAGAGTAGTGCTGGTGGTCTCGTAACCAGCGCTGAACATGTCCTCCATGGTGTTAATTATATAGTCGTCGGACAAAATGGCTGCTTTCTCCTCAGTGCCGACTTCATTTTGGGCGACAAGTTTTTCCTTCAAAAGGCTACCAGTAAGGCTCTCGATCTCCGCTTCGGGGTCAAATGCTTTCTCTTGTTCCCTTAGCTGATTTCGTAGAATCTCAAACAATCGATCAGTCATTTCTTTCTCTGTTTGGTAGGCTTTGAAAGGGAGGTATTTGGCTATGGGAAAGTTATCTAACATTAACACTTGACTGTTCAATTCAGTGTCTGTAAAAGCTCTATTGTTTATTTCCAAGAGCTCCTGGAAATCTGGATGCGATGAATCAAAGAGCTTTCCAAACGTGATTCGACAGATGACGTTTGCAACGCTTTCCATCAACATCTGTGATGGATCAAAATCTTTTCCCTTCTGGTCTTCAAAGTACTGCAGTAGCCTTTTTGCTTGCTCAGAGATTCTCTCTTCAACCAGCTTCTGATCGGAGATATACTTTCGCACCGCCGTCATAAAGAGTTTGCGATGAAACTTCCAAGCAGGACCATAATTCCCAAATGCAATATCCTTTCCGCCTAGAATGCAATACAAGAAAATATATAACTTTCATCATGATGGATTACAGTAGCTCTAATAGGCGTCAAGATACAGAATTTATAGTACGACAGAAAAACGATACGAATGTCCAAACTCAGCTCTTTCATTTATTTTAGAGAATGGTCGTTATCTATCGCCAGGGGGGTGGGGTGGAAGATTTTAGTTGTGTCATTATAACATTTACCTGATCTTCCCATAAGGCTCCGTATATAGGCGGATTCATGCTGACGTCATTGTTTACATTTTTGCTCATTTGCATACGGCTTTGCGTAAAGAAGGAGGCATGTTAGATACAAATTGCCTTCAGGCAGCTAAAGAGCTAGAAAACCTTAGTACATGGTGAAATTTTTAGCTCTTTGGGTGTAATATTAAAGGAGAAATAGTCAATCAAAAAGTGCAAGATTTCTGGGTGGCAAAAGCGCTAATGAGCTCATACATTCTATGCAAAAATTTTGAGTTTTTAACCCGCGTAGCACAAAAAGTATCAAATGCATCAGGCTCGTATTCATTGGCCGAGTTAATCGTACTTTGACCTTTCGATATTTAGAACTGATTTATTTTTAGCTCCATCAGAAACTAAATTGCTTATGCTAATGAGGCAAATATTGTAAACAAGGATTCCCCTATATGATCCCCTTCCTCCCTCCCCCTCATGGATGATTAACTGCCAGACAGGTTTGTCTAATACCCCCTACTTTGGCAAGACATGTTATTCGGCATTGCAGTACATACCAAGAGTGGACATCATGAAGCTATGGAATGGAGGTCTTCCAGCATAATCAGCCGATTTCTTCACCAACACTTCTTTCACTGAGGCAGCATCTTCGGCAATGACGGTTTTAAAACTCCCCACCTTCAAGGAATACACGTTGCCATACCTCTTTTTCAAGCTTAGTGATAAAGAAAACAAAAGATAATAGTTTAAGTGTCCGTTATAAGGTATTACTTCCCTAAATTTATGTCAATTACTGATATCGTTACGTTTAGCCTCCTTCCCACAGTTTTCGGCCCCTCCTCGTAGTTCGATATTTGCATTAAAGATTATTGGACGCAGCATACACAAGAGAAAAAAGAATACCTTTGAAACAAATTATTTTGCGCCTGAAAAACACCAAAATATCATTTTTTCAGTTCTTGCTGTGACACTACAGAAGACGATCGATAAACATCTCGCAATCGTCCAGCAGCTTTTTATTCATATTAACATCTCACGATCATCTCGCTTTACAGAAACGCTCTTTTCAAATCTACATACGCAGCGTTATTTTATTTGTACAGGCACCTAAGCGTAACCCTTAAGCAAATCCGGAAATTCAGTCGTCCACGAAAAGCTGAGCTTTCCGAAAACGCGATCGTTATTGCAATTGCTAATAGTGTATTTTAAGCGGCGTAATTAAGCCCTACTATGTATAGGACCAAGGATGCAGTCAACCGTTTCAATCGCCAGTGTTTTGAATTGGCTTCATTTGCATAGTGAAATGCCATTTCCTAAACCACCTTGTGCAGTATAAAAGGCGCCTCGATAAGAAAATTATTTTGTCTTATAGTTATACTTTATGATTCGGCCTCTCTAGTCCTACGGAAAGATTATTCAATTTTCCGCAACGCACAGTGCTGAGGCGAAGAAACATAACATGCAAATTTGGTTTGTTTGTTTAGCACCCTTCGGCGAGGTATATGAAAGTGCAGCGAAATAGGAATTTTGTATTATAACAATATAGCCACGATTTCACGAGAATGCGATACAGTGAATCGTCGTTCTCAGATAAAATCACTAGCAAAAATTATTCACAAGATCGAATTCTGAGCAAATAACGAGAAAATATAAACATAGAGTGGTTCTTGGTGCAAACAAACCTTCGAGTAGAGTCGCGAAGGCTCTGTCCGTCATCAAAGCTCAAAAGATTTCCCACAAAAGGCAAAGATGTCAGACGAGGTCCTGGTGGCATGTTCCTGAACTGATACAGTTCAACCAGTTGATTGAGAATCAATAAAAAAACAATAGCCAAGAAAATATTGCCGAAAGTAAAGCACTCTGAAACTGCAAGCTCCATCTTGGATACCTAAGTTTGCCACTGACGTCACGGGATAATAGTGCAAAAGATGTGAGGATGGCGTGATTGTCAATTGTGAGGAAAATAAGTATCCAGTCTGTTTGTCACTAAATTCTGCGTTAATTTAGTGTTTGCGAATTTAATGTACAGATATTTCGAGAATACATTTGAAAGGAAGCCGTTTCGAAAACGAGGGCTCTTTTTCAAGGGAAGAGGAAAAATATTAAAATAACGCTTGAGCTCTTGCTGGCTTGCATCTATTGTGCACTATATGTCCATATTCAAATAAAACTGCGTAAATAGATGGACTGAAGCATCGTTTTTAAACGCAAAATAGGAGAACAGAAGAAGCATTTGCATTCATTCCAGACAGCTGCTTTAAACTGACTCATTTACTTGGATGATATGATCTCAGCAGGGTGAAGTTTGAACAATGAATGTCATTGCAAAACGCTCAGTTAAGTGCGAGAACACGGGAAAGTACCGAAGACACATGAATACACTTACGCTCAAGTAAATGTTATGGTCTCATAACACGGCCCCGGATTAGGGGTTAACCTAGGTGAATCACCGTGAAGGGTTACCTTTGGCGTTTGTGTGAAGAAGTCAAGCAAGCCGGTCAGGTACAGGTCTCCTAAACGGGTCTCGCAGGCTTTCTAGATGGGTCGTACGCTTTCAACCCAGAGTACAAACAACTAAAGCAAAATGATATGTGAATTTCCTACAACTGTAGAAGGAAGACCAAAGAGCATTTGAGCATTTTACTGAAAAACATTAGATTCGTTTCCTTTATTTTCGATTATTTGGTAGATAATAAGACCCCGTAGGACAAAATGTAAACAAAACGCTGATCGATCGTACTCTTTCAAATAAGTCCTGAGCCCGTACATCTTAGTGAGGGTTTTTCTGACAACTAGCTATCACTGACGTTTTACAGCTCTGATCTGGTAAGGTGCAGGAAACCGGGTAAACCTGTTAACTCCTTTGATATCGGGAAGAACACCATCCTCTTGCGGTAAAAATGTGAACTTGTGCAACATCCAGGACAGGAAAATGAACAACTCGACCTGTAAGATAAAAGCGAAAAAAAAAAGTATCTGGGTGTAGACTTCTAAGCTGCTTTGTCTACGTACAACTTGAACTAACTATATAACTCTGGAGCAAGGTATCCTACCATTACAGAGTAGCTATTATTAATAATGTCATTATAATTATTATCATTACTGTTATTATTGCTATTATTAATATTATTATTATTGATGACTAAGATTTACAGATCGAAAATATCAGAGCTTGCTCGAATTATCTTTGATTTTAAGAATTCGAGATTCTTTTTTAAACTTGTCTCTTTTCATACCAGAGACGGATAATTTTCGCCACAGGCGATTGTATTTTTTATGATTTATATGATTCTTTATGTTTTATAGTGCTTAATTCTTACTTCAAAGTTTTTCTGTAAATTCTAAACATATTTTCAAATTTAATTAAATTATCATTATTAAAAATTATTATGGCAGTAAAAACTTCTGGATACCCAGATATCCTAAACAATGATTGGGCGGCAAGCCGTAACTAATCAATGCAACGACCAAAGTCCTAACAATTAAAATTCTTATAGGAATTCCTAATTATGGAACCCTAATAAGGAAATTTATTATTATTATTATTATTAGCATTATTATTATTAGCATTATTATAATTATTAGCATTATTATTATTATTATTAGCATTTTTATAATTATTAGCATTACTATTATTATTAGCATTATTATTATTATTATTATTAGCATTATTATTATTATTAGCATTATTATTATTATTAGCATTATTATTAGCATTATTATTATTATTAGCATTATTATTATTATTAGCATTATTATTATTAGCATTATTATTTTTATTATTATTAGCATTATTATTATTATTAGCATTACTATTATTATTAGCATTATTATCATTATTATTAGCATTATTATTATTGTATCAGTCGAATGATAAAACCCCTTAACACTTCAGCCAATCAGTTTTAGAAAAAAATGCCTGATTCGGAGCAAATGATGATTGATACCTTTGCAAGTGCCTCGCCAGCACAGACTCGGCGTCCAGCGGAAAAGGGAAGAAAGTTTCCAGAGTTGGTAATAAGTTGGCCATCAGCATCAATATGGCGGCGAGGGTCGAATGCGGTTGGATTTTCCCAGCAGCTCGGATCCATGTGAACAGCCATTAAGTTAGCAACAACTACAGTATCCTTCGGAACACGGTAACCAGAAAGAGTGGTGTCCTTCAATGTATAGTGAGGAAGAGCAGCTTCGACGACATTCCCGAGGCGCAGTGATTCCATGATTGTGGCCTGTACCAGTGGAAGATTTGAGCGATCATCCAGGCCTGGCATCCGGTCCCTTCCAACCACCTCATCGAGCTGACATTGTATCTCCCTTTGGCATTCAGGATGGTGGACAAGGTATGCAATGGCCCAGCGAAGGGTTGTGCTTGTGGTCTCGTAACCAGCGCTGAACATATCCTCCAAAGTGTTAATTATGTAGTCATCTGACAAAATGGACGCTTTCTCTTCAGCACCTACTTCATTCTCGGCGGCAATCCTCTCCTTTAAAAGACTACCAGTGAGGCTCTCAACCGCCGCTTTTGGATCGAATGCAGCTTCCTGCTCCCTGAGCTGACTGCGCAGAATTTCAAAGATTCGATCGAAAATCTTCTGCATTTTTCGGTAGGCTTTGAATGGAAAGTATTTGGCTAGAGGGAATTGATCTAATGCAAAGACCTGAACATTCATTTCATCATCAGTAAAGACACTTATATTTAATTGCAGCAGTTCCTGAAAATCCGGATGGGACGAATCAAAGTACTCTCCAAATGCTATTCGACAAATAACATTTGCAACGCTCTCTGTCACAATTTGTGAGGGGTCAAAAGCACATCCTTCTTGATCTTCAACGTATCGAAGCAGCCTCGTTGCTTGCTCAAACATTCTGCGCTCAATCAGTTGCTGGTCCGCGATGTACCTTCGCACGGCTGTCATGAAGAGCTTGCGATGAAACTTCCAGGCAGGACCATAATTTCCGAATGCAATATCCTTCCCACCTGCAAAGTAAGTTGGCATTTATCCGTGATCAGGTGACTAAAAAAAGCAATTTCGCCTGAAGGTAAATCTCTACATCTCACATTAAAAGAAAAAGTGGATGGAAAATAATAAAAAGTCAGAGAAAATAACTAATTAGGCGTGTAATCGCGACACCGACTAGAGTCAAACCTTACTAAATTATAAGTAATTAGATAACTAACTATGCTTTGAGCTGGTGCAAACTTTTTTACGAAAAAATTCGATAATGCGTCACATCTTTCGTGTGCATGACGGTGATGTGGGTGAAAAGCCAATGTGAATTTTCAGTTTAAAGTTGAAAATTTCCTTGCATATATTGGGAGAAATTTCTTCAAAACTATTTACAGCGCAACCTCGATTTAACGAACCTCGACATAACGAAGTCCTCGGTACAACGTACGAAAGATACTTCAATTTCAGCCCGGCTAAAGTTACAGTAGAATGTATGCCACAGAAACTCTATACAACGAACCCTCGATATGACGAACCGATTTAATTACCCAGTCCCTTAGCACTTCGTTAAATCGAGGTAGGTTCCACTGTAGTTGATATTTTGTAGTTCTCTCAAATGTAACTGTACTCTGGGGATGTTTAAGAACCGCTATAAGAGAAACTGTCTCGTAGATGAAAACCTGTTCTCAGCACATACCAAGAGTAGTCATCTGAAAACTATGAAATGGAGGTCTCCCAGCATAATCGGCAGATTTATTCACGAGCATTTCCTTAACTGAAGCGGCGTCTTCAGCGATGATGGTTTTAAAACTTCCCATTTTCAATGAGTACAATTTTCCATATTTCTTCCTCAAGCTTTGTAATAAAGAAGAGAAAGCAAAGTACTGCATTAGTTTGTATTTAACCTGTTCCCTCAAAAGGACTCAGTCAACCCGTAAGGCAAATCGCGTAGATACCATAAAAAAATATAAAGTTTTATTGTTCTAGTTTGATTATTTTTCGTTGCTTTCATGATTTGTTTATTTCCTTTTAATTGTTCTAGTTAACGATTGGGCTTTGAGCGCGAGAATAATTTTTTTCCCGTGATAGCTGATAAGGGCGAAGTGACCTCTGTGTGACAAGATTGTTATTTGAAGGGTGATCTATAACCACTGCACAAGTCATACGTTTTTACACTCCTTTCTGCACCATTACTGATCCAAAAAATGGTGGCTAATTGTAAACTTATCACTTGCCTAGTAATTTTAATTCTATTTCGTGAGAAAATTATGAAGCCTCAAGTCTTCTTTAAAAAAATCAAGGTAATCAAACAGCCACCACTTTCACTTGCAAACATTATGAAAATTTTAACCACTCTTATCGTTGCAGTATCCTCTTTCTCATTCAGTTATTATTCATAAATGAAACGCTCTCCTTGGGTAGCCCTGGCGTTCAACCTCATTAACATCTCTATTTTCTTAGCGTCACGCAACTAAAAATATGATGATGGCTACTCCAATATTGCAATATTACAAGTATTTGTCTACTTTCCCGGCGCTATCAGCTTGCGTCAAACTACAAAATAGATGACCATTCGCTACCATTTGATAAATTCAAACGCTGATTACAGATAAGAGCACAAAAGGGAAGACTCTGCGGTCGACTTGACCGTGTTGAACTAGAAACTTGTGAATGGCAGAGCTAACAAACCTCCTTGTGACTTCGCCAAAGCTTTCTCCAGAATCAAAGCTTAACATATTACCGATAAAAGGCAAAGATGTCAAACGAGGTCCCGGCGGCATGTTCCTTAACTGATAGAGTTCAATCATTTGGTTGAGAATCAGGAAGAAAACTATGGCCAGGAAAACATTTCCAAACGTAATGCACTCCGATAACTCCATTTTAGATTATGCAAATACAAGCTCAAGAAACAGACGTGACCAATCCTTGGGTTTCACCCACGTGACCAATACCTTAGCAACGGTTAATATCCGCCATCTTGGTGTCCCTCGAGCGTAAACAAACCGTATCTAACGAAGAGTTCTTGTGAGAAAGAAGGGATGGTTTTATGCATTATTGTTGGCTGTTCGAGCAAAAGTGGAAAGCATAAAGACTAAGGATTTTTTCGTGTAATAATTTAATAACTTTATTATCTCTATAGCGCAAAATTCATTATATATATGATCTAATGCGCTATACCTAAGATCATCACAAATCAAGGGGAAGAACAGGAGGAACTAGAAGTTGTTGTATGGTTCGAGGCTTGCGGCTGTTGTAGATCCTCGATTTTTTGGTCGAGCTTTTCTTTGAGCTTCTTAGCCGATGAAAAATCGATGTCTTTAGCCCTCGCATACGGCACTTCATTGACCTATGTCGGCAAAATCCATGAGCATTTTACCTGAGTGCTAATAAGCTTGGGGTGTCACGAAAACTCACACCCCGAAAACTCAGACCTCAGACCTAAGACCCCGAAAACTCAGACTCCTCGAAAATTCAAGAGATAAACTCGACTCATGATCACTCCTGGTAATCCCGCGTGTATTTTGACCTTTTGGGTCTTGATCCAACTGAAGCAGCAAAAGCAAGGCCGCAAGTTGCACGTTTCGCAAAATCGTCCGATGGTTGAGTATTAAAACATTTTAGAGTGACACAAGACTTCATTTAGCTTAGATTTACCTCCATTTTTCCCGTTAATTTTGAACTTTTCATTCACAGTTAACGGGATCAAATGCGCTCGCTCCAATATCAAAGTATTAAAATGTGGCGTGATTTTGACGAGCCGAAAGGGACGTTTGTTTACCTTTTTGTACTTCGTTGCACAGATCCTTGTTGTCGCTCTGTTAAAATTCTTAAATATTTCGCGATAATAATGGATACAAACAGAGACTCGGCCCACCAGTCCCAAAACGAAGACAATTTTGCGACCCTTGGGCTAGAGTTCTTAAATGAGGCAGAAAGAGAAAAACAACGCGAAAGAAGACTCGGCATCAGCGCCGTCACGATTCGCTTCACTGAAGAATCACTCTTGATATTGTTGTCCGTCTTTCGCGTCGGATTTGTTGCATTGTTCCACCGGTTATATTATAAAAAAAATTGGTTCATGCTTTATGCTATGCACTATCGAATTATGGAGCACTTCGAAAGCTTGGAGAACACTTCGAGGGACCTGAGTTTTCGGTGTCTGAGTTTTCGTGACACCCAGCGACCTTGCCATGAATTCTAGTAGTTGCCTCAAACATAAATAAAACACTTGCGATATGTGAGCATGACTCAGCCAGTCCAGCTTTGCATCCCAAGCAATGGGCTGACAAAATAGTCCCATCGTTTTCGGAAATGACCCAAATGTTCACTAAAGGATCATTCATATGCTGTGAATGCCAAACTCGTGCCCTCACGACATACTTGCCGGCGATTACTTTGCCTACAACTGAGGTTACAAATCCCGACACCATTTGATTAAACGCCTCTAGACTCTTGAACGCCTTGAACTGCTTCTTGGTGTAGAAGCTGGTCTCAAGAACGAGGTAACTCAGCAAGTCCGACGCTTCCACAGGAGGCAAGCATTTTGGACTGAACTTCTCGGCTGGTATGCTTGCAGGGTCAACCCCAATGACCGAGATCTTTTGCAAACATCTTTCCCTCCAACTCTCTAAGCTTTCGGCATACTCAGAGAGCACTGGGATACCTTAAGATGAATGCCGGATACTTTTATCGCTTTTTTCTGTCTGGATATTCATGTAGTTGGCGAAATAATACGGCGATAAGAGAGAGGGCTTCACTATAGAAATCGACTAATTATTCGTAAATTTGACACCCGAGGGACACCAACATGGCAGACACTAACTTCAGCAAAGCTTGTGACGTCACCTGAAACCCAACCATAAGGAAGAGTCACGCAACAGGGAAAACGCTGCATGATTCTTTGTTGATCAGCTCACAAATTTAGAATGTTGCATGACGGGGTATTCGCGACAAAACTCTTTCGCTATTTGTAAACTGGAGAGCATTTTTATGGACATATTTTCGAGATGGCGACCAGATATTTGCTACACTGTTGCTAGTCATTTGTGCACCAAAGTGCACAATAACTCTAGAAAGGAAACAGCTTGCATTTGATAGTACGTAGCTGGTAGAGAACATGCTTTAGCTAAAAAAAAAAAAAAAAAATCAGCACTCATTTTCATCGGCTAGTCTTTTTCGCTCCTTTGAGAAGGGCATCCCAAAGCCTGAGCTTTAATTGCGCTTTAAGCCACAACCCTCGTAAATAACAAAATTGAAAAACCAAGGAAAAGCAATTATTGAATATGTCTGTTCTTTTTTAAGCATCTGTACACGAATTATTCACCCTCAGAAACGTCAGGCATTAATATACAATGTAACTTTGGATGTAACACATCGGTTAAGAAAATACTAACTTATGCACTGAAGGGTTTCAACCCTCACAAGAATAGCTATAGACGACAACTGTCTAAGCCGTGTTAAATTCTTAGAATCGTCGAGAGAAGTGACACTGAACTGTGTCATCGCCTTATGTCTCAATGTCTAATGTTCTTGCGATCCTTCCTAGAGCTTCCTTAAAACTTACGGCAATGACCAAGCATAATTTCATTTCCTCGGTATGGAGTCACCCTAATCTCTTGAATCGCCGTAGTTAGTGTCCATTACACCGTTTCAATGCCTAATGAGAAGAGGTCAAACGTTGGAAGTTCATCATCGTTATCATTGTCCACGACATCGGATGTCTCTAGAGATTGCGGAGAGGTTATTTTATCGACTGAATTGGTGTTATCACCAGGAGAGCAAACCATTTTCCCATCTGGTTCTCCTCTCAATTCGATAGGATTTTGAGAGTTGGAAGGAAGCGCCTCAAGACTGGATTGCTTGTCATTAGTGCTTTGGACAGAGGTCTTTGTTACCTCTGCTGGGCTGGGGTCTGAAAAAGAACAACACCACAAATAATCATTACTAAAATTAACGACAACAACAACGGCGGTGAAACTGATGACTACGTTAGCACTATCTATTTGTAAACGACTATGGCAAAAGTAACCTGCGGGCCAGACGTAATTTGGGAGAACGAGAGCTCAGTATTTTCTTAGCGAAAAATGGCCGCCATCTTTGATTTTAATGGCAGCGGAGGGCTGGGGAGAAAAAGAAATTTGTACCAAGGGGGTGAGTGACACTCAAAACTAAGGGTTGTGGTAGGGGAGTGAAAGTTACTGGCAAAAGCAATGACGTCCACAATGTCAGTGGCTTACAATGACGACGGTGAAAATGATAGTGACTATGTCAATTTGAGAAACAGATCAATGTCAATTTTTGAGCAAATGCGCACCTACTCCTCCCCAACCAAACATTAACCAAAACTTGTTATCAGTCCAGTGTTGTTGGGTCGGGGGGGGGGAGTTAAGTCTGCAGTTGCTCATATAATGACCGATCTGAGAGAAACAATGAAACTGACAATCACTGTGACAATGACTTAAGGGGAACGGGAAGGTCAGTCTCCGATGAGTGCAACACTCTTCAAGCTTTAACAACTCACCTTGGCTGGTATCATTGGCATATTCTTTCTTCCATTTCTCAACGAAATCTAGTGAATTACAGAGTCCGCCGGGAAATCCTGCGTATGAAAAATATGAAAACCCACGTAAAAGATAACAAACTCAAAACAAACTAAAAGCCACTGAAGAAGAGAATATCTAGTTAAACAATAGATACGGAAGAATGAACCGACTCTTACCACGACAATGCTCTATGACTTTCCCCCAAACGTTGTTACAGGACAGCATCTTAAAATTACCAACGATAAGGAGATGCCTGAAAAAGGAACAAGGTAATTTAAAACGAACGATAAAGACTTCACGCTACATATCAAAGCAAAAGTATTATTACTAACCTCTTGGCTCTCGTAAGTGCAACATTGGTACGTCTGAGAAAGAAACAGAGTAATCATTAAAGAATAGAGAAAGAAAAATAAGTAATAGCTATCATCCAGTTCAAAGGAGAGGCACCTCACCTCTATGAAACACATACGATGGCAAATTCATGGGCAACGCTCTACAATACCATGTTCGGCTATCTTCAGTGAAATGTATTTTGCTTCTTCTCCCCCTTGTATGTATAATAAATAATGCGCAGGCCGGCATAATAGACCGAGCTGAAAAGCATAACCTAAAGCATACGAGGTGATAGAATGTAACAAGAATCTCACCTGTCACAATCAATGAATCCAATGTGATCTGTGCGCACGCACGACAAAATGATCAAGTCCTTTTCACCGCCCTGGAATGCGTCGACTGTTGATATCTGTTGATATTGATTACATAAGAAAATATAAACTAATAGCAGCAGACAAAACAAACACTCAAGAAAGAAAAGAAGCCACAACAATTCTCTAGAACAAACCAAGTGCAGTCCAACTACAGGTAAGATTGACGCTAAACGACTTTCCTCACCTGAACAGATTTGAGTTCAGCGTTAGAAGTGGCCCTGAATTCCAGACAAAATGAGAGCATGCTAGTGGTTATAACACTAATTCACGCAAAACAAACGAACAAGCATGCACTTAACTTTTAACTATCTGTTCAAGCAGGGCGGAGTGAGGTTCTCCACCTCTCTTCGCACTGGTTCAAGTGTTGTAATGCTCGTTAACTTGCATCAAAAATGTTAATTTTCAAAAACGCTTATGTAAAAACTCTTTAACATGAAAGTTTCCAACAACTAAACATGAATTAACGAGCTCCGAGTCCTTCTTACGAGAAAACAAGGATACCTGGAAGCTGCCAAATGATTGGATATTGAGTTCAGCTGGGACTTGTACAACGTTATTACTCCTGAAAGGAATGCAAGAATATCGGGTTTTTTTTTAAAGAGAAAATCCCATTCGTAACTAACAACTACCATAGTGCGGAAATGCAACAAATAGAGGATGTCATATCAATAGGGCGGGGGAGATTCCATATTCTTGAAAGTAAAACTCCAAACCGACAAGAACCTCTTTAATATCACTCTGCATCGGTGCTTAACTTTCTGCCAAAATGCGAGTAGTAACCTATATTTTCAAAAAGGGTTAAGAACTTTACTGACACAAGAAGTGGTATACACCGAATCGAAATATAGCGTCCCATTTGAAGTGCCATTGATCTGGACTCACTAACCACATACACATGTGATAATCCTTTCATGTTTCCATGTGAAGACGATGCTAGTGAGTCCAGAACAATGGCAATTCAAATTGGACGCTATATTTCGATTCGGTGCATAGATGCATTGGTGAGATATCATCAATAATCACAAACAGCCGTCAAGCTATGAGCCAATCATATTGACGGAAGCACTGTGTCAAAGATGCTGTTAAAAATATTCATCACATACCTATTTGAGCTGGTTCTACCCAAGACTCCAGGAGGCACTCAATAAGAAAGACAACAAATTTCGCCTACAATCAATGAACAAAATTCAGTGATATTCAAAATGAAGTACGAAAAACTCATGAAAAAATCGAACAAACAAACAAACGGGCCAAAAAAAACAAAACAAAACAAAACAAAACAAAAACAAAATTGTTAAAACAAACAATAAAACTCAAATAGCGAGGAGAAAAGAATGGTAGAAAGGCTGTGAGATAAAAGAAAGCACCAAACGAACTTCAGATTCCAACAACAACATTGAAAGAACAGGGACTCAAGAGAGAAATGCACATGGCGATGGCTGCAATGTAAAGAATAGAGCACAATGCTTGTACCTCTTCGTCATTGTAGTAGCTTCCGTCTCGTCCACATTTCTCTTTCCCTCTTGCCACGTTATAGAAGCAAAGAGTTGGAACAATGTCCTGTTTGAAAGACACCATTAACAGGCTTTATCAAATGTATTCATATGCGGCTATCTTCATTAACGAACGTCATTCAGTAAGAAGCGAGAAGAGGCGAAAATAGCACTTTTGCAGTTTGGATTCCAGCCACTGCGCAATAATGGGAAGTGTCGCTCCTGTTAAGTTTCGGCAAATCAGAAAAACATGTCGAACCACTAATGGATGAAAGTAAGTACAGAGGTTACCTAAAGGGATCATTTGGCTTTACAACGCAAGGAACTTCTGAACTCTTACCACTATTGGGGAACGATCTTCAGCCATTACCCCGTCGAGAAGCTTGTTCCCATAAAACAATCTGCAGATCAAAATCAAGTATTCTTCACCGTTTTTTTTCTTCACAATCAAAACTGATTTTGTCGCAAGTGCCATTGGTGTAATTAAGTGCATAGAAATTCTACGAATTTGTCAAGCTAGTCGAGGTTTTCTCCATCTTACACGGTTTTCAAGCAAAGGTCAGCACAAAAAACGCATTGGCAAGAAAATTGAATGAATACCGTAAACGAAACGGCAGTTCAATGCTCTGATCACCTTTAAGGTTCAAAGACACGAGAACAAAAGTAAAACATGAAATCAGCTTGCACTCACGTGTTGGATATCGCACTGATCGTAGGATGACAACGGTACTAAAAAGAAGAGAAGAGAAGAGAAGTAAACATCACGCCTTTTGTTCTCTTCATCCGACACATTACTCTCCTTTGTTGTTCTCCGATGACTAACCGATTCACGTCTTCAAATCATCCCAATTCAAGAAACGTTTATCTCGCTGACACAAAAAGCTTCAGATAGCGACTGCTTTTGCAAACACACGATCGCCTTACACTCACTGAAGTACATGTCGCTATACTTACTCCATGGTTTGATCATCGCCTTGAAAGGGAACCTACCACTAATGCGCATCTAACACTTGAACTCGTCAGAGACAGTTCAAAATGACTAAAATGAAACGTGCATGATTCCCTGTAACTCTGAGTTTCGTGCTTACGCACTCGTCAGACGAGTGCGCAAGCACGAAACTCATAACTGTATTTCGCTCTACACTCATGTATATTGAGCACTTTCCACCAGCATTTGCTACAATTTCCCACAATAACTCCTCAGATCTGAATGTTAACTCTCCCCTTTAACTGCTACACATTTCCTTAGTAATTCGCCACAAGATAATGGAACTCTTGTTCGCCAAGAGAATTTGGTGTTAGATCAATATAACTTCTCCATGATAAGTTTGAGTATCCTCAATACCTGTTGGCTGGATAATGTATGGATATTAAAGGAAGAAGTTACACGTTAACCACTTCTGGGAGCTAAAAGAAAGGGTTAAAGGAAGCAACATTTTACCTGTGTTCTCAGCAGAGTAGGCTCATAACCCTGGCGATGAATAAATCAAAAGATAAGTTAAAAGATAAATAGACAAAAGAAAAAAGCTAAGATAATAATAATAAAAATATATCAAATGTGCCACTGTAATGAAATCTAAAAGTGGGCCAAACGAAAAAGCAGCTCAGACAAGGCCAATGGAAAAAATAATAGTCACAAAAGTGACTCACTCATTATCCTTGTAGCACTAAGACGTCAAAATGGTAAACTGTAACTTTAACTTAATGCTTCTTCGACACATTTTATAATTCTCGAACACTAGTGCCCGATTTTAGACACTAGTCTCTGATTCTAGACAATAGTGTCTAATTTTGACACCAGCGTCCAGTTTTAGACAGTAGAGTCTAATCTGGACGCTAGTATCTGATTTTATAAACTAGTTTCCAGTTTTCGAAACAAGTGTCCGTTTCTAAACACTAGTGTCCGATTTTAGACACCAGTATCCGATTTTAGACGCTACTGTCCGATTTTGGACACTTGTGTCAAGATCAGACACTGGCTTTCAGTTTTAGACAGTGGAGTCCGATTTTGGACACTAGTGTCTACTTTTAGAAATTAGTCTCCGATTTTAGACACTAGCATTCGATTTTGGACAGTACTAACCGATTTTGGACACTGGTGCCCGATTTGAGACATGAGTGTCCAGTTTTGGACACCAATGTCTGATTTTGAACTTTGGTGACCGATCTGAACACTAGTGTCTGGGATCAATCGAAGGATTAATCGATGTAATTTAGGTAAAAATGGTTGTAAAATTAACCATTTTTAAAAATTTTTAAAAATGGTAAAAAATCCACCTTCACAAAACACTAACAATAAACTTACCATCTTAATCAGTCGATCAAACAAAGTTTGTTCAAGTCCACTTTCATGGTCAGGCTCTGAGCCCTGAATCGTTGGACTCAGTTGCTATAAGAAGTAGAAACAAAACAAAGAGGAAAGCAATCGAAGCGTTGAGATCTGAAATTCAACAAAAATTCAACAAAAAGAGACAACCACCCAGAACGATAAACTATACATAAGCACTTACTTTTGGGTCCCCCACCAGAACAAGCTTTTGGCATTCAAATCTGTAGGAAAGTTTAAAATTCGTACGTTTATGTATTGTTTTTATTTTGTTTTGTTTTGTTCAGTCTTTTTTTTTTTGTAAGGTATGTTTCGTTCATAAAGATTTTATTTGGCGTCTTTTGAATTGTTTTGTGGCCTATGTATGCCATCAATTTCTTCAAAACAAAAGGACAGTACTGAAGCTAAGGCGGGCCCGAAATTGAGACTAGCTAATCGTCATTGTGACGTAAAATTTGCTCCTGGCGATCATAATTTTATTTGCACTTGTGCACATTCAACTTTTGATCGTTTGCCAGCGGGAATACATTTCAAGCAAAGAGAGCGTTTTTGGGAACAAAAATTTCACCAATTGGGGGAACAAAACTGTTTCATTGCTGATTGGTGATAAAAAGTTTAATCGACAATTGGCTATTTGCGCAAACATTTTCAACACTGAGATGGAAAAAGACGAAAGGGATAAGAAAAAAGCGGAAAGAAGGTAAGGTGCAGGATGGGGAACATTACGATGAATTTCAGGCCATAAAAGGTATTAAAGAGGCACGTACCTAGCCATGGGAAGAAGGGATGCTGGCTCTGTCATCTGACTGCACTCGTCAAGGAGCAAAACCTTTTAAGACAGGAAAATATGTACATTTTTTGATGATTGGCCGACTGCCTTAGATACACCTGACTGCAAAAAACTAGAATACTCCTCAAAATTAATGTACTTTAAACTTTACCGGAAAGTTTAATTTGTCTAAACAAGGAAACACACAGGCAGCGCAAGTGACTCCAACCACTGGGACCTGAGATAATTTCTGAGGGGAAAAAAAAAAAAAGAAAACTATAATAATGTCATATAACATGAACTGTAACATATAACCACAATTTAGGTTTGTTGTTATTGTGTTGTTTCTTTCGTTTTTTTAATTGCAGGAATAGTGAGGATACATTGAGCCTTTTACTGTTTCGCATCAGATCCGAATCTGGTTGTGAGGTGTAAAAGACTAATGTTTTAGTTTTGTACTGTGTTTCTTGCTGTTTCCGATCAAATGTCGCAGCACCTAAGATACGTGGGTGATCTGGCACTGTCCCCTCTGACCCTTGAGGGTTACGGTTGAATATTAACGACCCCTTGGGACTTAGAGGGAGATTCTATTAAAGCGACTGACCTGCGGTGAGCGTGGCAAAGAGTTTTATAGGTGACACGTGATTAAACACGAAATTAATACAATGCACGCGACGCGTGAATTTTACAGAAAGGCAAGGTAAGATAAAGATTTGTAGTTTCCCCTTTCAAATTCGTGACGCGTGAAATACTCTTTTCAGTGCACGTGACGCTTGAACTTTTCATGACCCTTCCCTTTGCTACCCTCAACGGTGAAGGATGGACTAGCATTACACGAAAACGATTAGAAATACTCCGGATCACTTCATGCAGCAAAGAAAGATAAGGCTGTTGGGGTTGCTGTTGCCTAACAGCTGAATTTGGGGGAAAATGTTCCGCCGTTTCACAGAGTGCTCTCTTTACAAAGCTAAATAAACAAAGATAGCAATAGTCCCAATTATCGTGTGACCTATATTCAAATTAACGAGAAAAATGAATTAAGCAAGGAAGCAGTTTTGGTGAGAGTAAATCGATTTTAGTCAAATTGACACGTAATCAGATAATTTTTAATTTATTGCTCAATAGGCGGAAAGAGGGAAGACGCGAATGGCACTGAGAAAATATTAAGCCTTTTAGCTCTTAAGCAGCTCTTCCTTACACAATTAGACGAATAGCTAATGACTTCACAACAAGTTGTGTAAACGTCTTCGAAAAAGAAAAAAACAATGAAGAAAAAGTCGAGAAGCAAATCAAAAAATCAATCATGAAATGGTATTACTGATCTCTTCAACATCAAAGTGATGATAAAAATATATATTTGAGTTTCGGCGATTAGTAAAGTAATCAGAAACAATAAATCAAATCTTCGTTCATGATTACGTTTTGATTAAAAAAATTCAATTTAAAATGTATGATTTTTTTTGTGTATTTGTTTCACACTTTATATAAAAAAGTGCAAAGAGCAGTTTTTAACTTGCTTCCAGGCTACAGTCTCAAGTTAACTTCAAGCTAACACGTTCAAAAAATGGCCAGGAAAGTTTTGTTTGATCAATCAAATCAAACTTTGGTTTAGGTTAAATGTGTCTAGGAAGTGTAAATAGAAACATGTGGGTCATTTTCGTTACTTATACAGCTTTATTCAAATTTAACGAGGCCTTAAGTGCGTTGTGAAGTTTGACTTCATGGCTGATGACTCCAACTCCACCACAGAACCTCGCTTCTGTGTTTTTGGAAAGAGCAAACAAGTAGAAATAACCTTGGCTGTCTCCTACAGCATTATAGCAATGCTAGGAATCATTGGAAACGCTTTGGTGATTAATGTCGTCCGACAGAACCGTCATATGCGAACCATAACGAACATTATGCTGGTCAATATAGCAGTGTCTGATATTCTCTCGCTGATCTGGTCTCTTCCAAAGCGGTATTTTGATATCATGGATGCACATCCTTCAGACAAGGTGGGAAAGTGGTTATGCAAGTTCGTCACCGCAAATAATATGGCGGCCATTACGTTGGCGGTATCTGTGTACACGTTGAGTTTGTTGGCGTTCGAGCGCTATCATTCGCTCGTCAAGCCCTTTCAACCACCGCGGATAAATGAAAATAACGTGGTTTACGTCTTAGCAGCAACCTGGGTAACAGCGAGCGTCGCACAGATCCCAACGTTCATTGAAACGACATTTAATGAAGTTACATGCAGCTGTGAAAGTCCGTGGACGAGCAACGACACGGCCCGTTCTATGCGAGACGCTGTGGTCATTATTATCACGGTGAACATTTTTTTCCCAATCATTGTCATCAGTTTTTGCTACGCGTTGGTCATCAACGCACTATATTTTAACAAAGCAAACCGGGTAAGGACCTTTGATCCCAGTGATCTACAATCCAAGAAGAAGATTGTGAGACTCCTGATGATAGTAACAGTTGTGTTTTACGCCTGTTTTCTGCCGTTTGGTTTGTACATGATGATTCTAGCGTCGAATTATGCGGACAAACTCAGTGACGACGGAAAATACTCACTTTCGAACGGTTTGGAGGTTGTCAAGTTTCTGATGTATCTGAGCTCTTCCTTAAATCCTGTCTTGTACGCATTTCAAAGTTCTAACTACAGAAACGGCTTTAAAATGTCTCTCCCGTGCTTATTTAGAAACCGCGTTAGAGACAGCACGCACAACACCCGGCAAGTCACCCTTGTAAACATTCAAGCATAATCTCCGCTCTTTAATGCATAGAAAGTCCTGTAGAAAAACTGGGTGAGTTTATTGGCACTAACTCGTAAACTGTGCGGGGTAAAAAGGAATTTTCAATTTGTTTGGTTTTGGTAGTGTGACAAAGTATCACGAATATTTGTTAATATAAGAATTTGTTCCAATTTCAATGTAAGGTAATTCGAAAATGTATTCTACCACTTCATGTCAAAATAAACAAATACAACTGATTTTACTACTATCCATCAAAATAGTTTCTTGAGAAAGAAACGTTGACAGGCTGTATCGACCAGACACACACACAAAAAAGAAAAACAAATTGCATAAGCCCACAGAAGTCAGTTGCAAATAGATGATAATACTAAACTACTGGTTGTAAATGTACGGAAAATGTCAGCTGTTGAAGATTTTCTTAACTCTCCTGACCTGTTTAGCGCCGAGACAAATCCGTTTACATTGCAGATGGAACTTGACTGAGCAGTAAATTATCTTGAAGACGTTTCACAGGTAAAACAACAGACTGAACAAATATGAAAAGCCCACGGAACTTATAAGAGGCCGACGTTTTCTTTCATAATTCGGTTAAAAATATTCGTTCAAAAAGAAATTGTACTACAAAAAGGAAATCAAAAGAATACAAAATGGCTAAATTGGCAAAATATGCCATGATATCTTAGACGTTCAAAACATCTTACGGTAAAAAAAGAAAGACTTCTTGCCGTCACGGTCTGTCCAACCGTAAGCGAAAACACTTGTATTTAAAGAGAACAAGAGATTATTCTTCCTCCTTTTTTTTTTTTTTTTCGGAAAATGTACTACAGAGGAGTTAAGTCCTAAATAGCATTAAAAGGTTGCCGTAAACGTCCTGTCATGAATTCACAATAAATCAAACAAAAAATTCATGGCCATTATGAATTACCCAATTAGAGAATGCACTTACACTCATTGGCTGCCCTTTGATTAGAAAATAACGTGTTGGAAACTGTACGATACGTTTCATAATCAAACAACATGTATGCGTACGTGTTTTTTCGCCCATATATGGCCTTGTTCAACGTGTCTATAATGCAATGCTTTTAGTGTGTTTTTGTTTTTGCCTTTGCATTTGCTGTTTGTTTTCTTTTTTCAGTTGCTTATTTGTTTACTTGTTTTTTTTTGGCTTGTTTGTTTGAACTTGTTTGTCTTGCTAGATCGTCTACTATTAACTTACTCGTTTATTTTCTCCGAGCTTGTGCTGTTCAATACCTTTTCTCACGTGGCTGAAATAAGAAAACATCCAAAAATTTAACACATTGAGGAAATATGGTCCTCCTGAAAACAGTGACCGAGAAAAACTCAGATAAAGCTCTCTACTAAAGCGAAAGTCGTTTCCGAATAGATTTGATATTCTTTGTAAGGCTTGATGGTCAGCGTACTGTGTTCGAGACCTGGCCAGGACAATGCGATGTGCTCTCGGACAAAACCCTTTATTCTCAATGGTACACTTAATTTGAAGCCTCGCTCTGTTGTGTGTCCCGCACTTTCATGGTTCAAGCGATTAAATAAATAGGTGAATAAATAAATAAATAAATAAATAAATAACATGTCCTTACATTCTTTCTGACGGGGTAAGTTCAGTCTTCAGAAGTGATTGTAGTTCCTTCAACTCTTGGCTGTCACCTCCTGTGCTATGCACACTGTAAGGCAACACTGGTTTAGCGATCTTTCTAATGCTTCCCACACGAACAAACTCTTCAAAGCCAAGGTCAAGTAATCTGAAAGAGGATAAATAAAGAATACTGAAGCAATCATCATTCCGATAATCTCAGGGTTTGAAAAAGAAAAAAAATAATAACGATGAAAATAATTTATTTTTGACGATATGTTTTTGGATCAAAGTCAATATCTGAGCGACTGCGCACCTACCCCTCCCCAACTTGTCCCATCAGTCGACTGTTATTGGGTTAGGAGAGGGGTGGGTATGTATTTTGTCGTTCAGTTATTAACACTGATCCGATGTTTTTAATGATCTGATTTTACCCTAACAAAATGCGATCCACTGCAACATTCGTTGTGGAGGACACCAAAATCTTCCATGAAGACACGTTACCACTGGGAAGCACAAACAATAAAAACAATAAAAACAAAAAAAACAAAACAAAAACAAAAAACAAAAAAAAAACCAAAAAAAAAAACCAAGACAAACAAAGTGTAGTTACGAGAGTTTCGGTGAGATTGTAAATTTTAAGGTACACGGACAAGAAGCAGCTTTTAATGAAATCTCCGGGAGATATCCCTTGTTCGTACTAGAAGTCAGGTCTGATTCAGTTGCTTGTTTGAAATTGAACGCATATCAAAGTTTGAGCTAAAACAAAGATGATGTTACCTTTGTTGATTGAAAGAATCGTTGGCTTTGAACAATTCCACCAGATAGAGAACCACAACTGCAAGCAGAAAACTTTTGCCCGCTCCAAAAACACCTAAGAGCAAGGAGAGACCTTCACTAAGACAATCAAATCTTCACCGACTTGTTTCGGTATTAAACACTGTAAATCAAGCATGATCGATGTTAATATCTAGAAGTATTATCATCATTTGATAATTTGTTTGGCTTCTTTTCACACGTGTAACCATCACGTAACAGCTTGCAAGTACTGTCAGCACATGCGCATTACTTGGGCCACTCAGTAATCGAACGATAAACACTAATCGGTCCACAAGTTAACAAATAGATTCCACATTCTGATATATTCATTCGTTCGTTCATTCATTCATTCATTCAGTCATTCATTCATTCATTCATTCATTCATTCATTCATTCATTCATTCATTCATTCAAGAGAGAGGGTAATCTTGATCCCAGATCCTACCGTGTAACCGTAACTGTGGAGGTAATTGGTTATATCAACTAAGTTGAAATAGTAAATTGGCCACCGTAACGAATAAAAAAGCTGACGTTTCGAGCGGTAGCCCTTGGTCATTCGCTCTGACGAAGGGCTAATACTCGAAACGTCAGCTCGGTTTTTTATTCGTTACGGTGGCCAATTTAAAATTTCATCTTAGCTGATATAACCAATTACCTTATTACCCCCACCGACGCAGCACCACAGTTTCTTTAGAACTTTCAGTCTTTATTCATGTAACTGGGGAGGGCATGGGTACGAAACAATGGAGAGGGAGAAGGATGCGTAGGTTACATATATCATAGTTAGTTATGGCGGATTTTATAACTATTAGTTACTCTGAGATAAACAAATAATGTCTTCAAATACTGGAGGCCTAAATGAGGGCTAGTTCTGATTGTTAACACATAATCTTCAAAACGAAAAGAAAAACTGATCAGAAACAAAAGAATATGAAATGTTTACAATCTGTTATCAGAAATTGTGGGGAATTAAGATGAAGGATGGTAAAAAAAGAAAGAAGCGGTTCATTAAACTGATTTTAGATTTAAAAACCTTTTTTATCACTGAATGTAACGGTTGATAACTGAAAGAGATTTGTCGGAGGTTAAATATGCCCCAATTAAATTACAGTTAAAGTTTTAAAAAGTTTTCCCTTCTTGACATCTTGGGAGCCTCTCTCTCGATTCTCGCATTAAAATTTGACAGACTTCCAACTTCATTCAGCTTTAAAATCATGTTTTGATCTTTGATCAATGCTCGCAGAAAGAAAAACAAGAAAACTGATGGAATTAAAATTGAAAGACTTACTTATACAGGCTTGCACGGTGTCCTCGTTTTTCTTCTTCAGCTTCCATTCGATCTCTAGAGGAAAGCCTTTGGCTGCACACTCAAAAGACATGTTATCACCTTTGAATGACTTCTGCTCAACATTGTGCATATTTGTCTTAGCATGCTTTCCTGGAAACCAGGTCGCAACTGAAAATTTGAGAAATAAGATTTCATTTCTGAGAGATTTGAACCATAATTACGTGAACAGTAAACAGATTTAAGCAATAGAACACGTTTCCGGGCTCTATAACGTGATAAAGCCACGTGGGATGT